GCAGATGTTCTCCGTTCAATGGGATTCTTTCCTTCGAAAGCCGAATCAGACATCTGGATGAGAGACAAAGGGAGCTACTACGAATACATCGCTGTGTACGTAGACGACCTCCTTATTGTCAGCAAAGACGCATCCAAGATCATCGCGACATTGGAAGGGGAGCACAAGTTCAAACTAAAGGGAACCGGTGCCATCAGCTTCCACCTAGGATGTGATTTCTTCCGCGATGAGAACGGAGTACTGAGTTACGCACCTCGCAAATACATTGAGAAGGTACTCAGCAACTACCAACGGATCTTCGGACACATGCCCAAACAAGCCTCATCTCCACTCATCAAAGGAGATCATCCAGAGACTGACACAACAGAGCTACTCGATATAGACACACAGAAGATATACCAATCCCTTATTGGTAGTCTACAATGGGCAATCCAAATCGGAAGGTTCGATATTGCCACGGCCACCATGACGATGTCCAGATTTCGGGCAGCACCAAGAATGGGTCACTTAGAACGAGTCAAGAGAATCTGCGGGTACCTTTCCAAGATGCGACACGGCATCATCCGCATCCGAAAGGAGGAACCGGATTACTCAGCGATTCCTAAGAAAGAGTACGAATGGGAGTACTCATGCTACCATGGTGCTAAAGAAGTTCAACCGCACAACGCACCTGTACCTCAAGGCAAACGGGTCATTCTCACCACATATGTGGATGCGAACCTCTATCACAATCTCATCAGTGGATGGTCAGTTACCGGAGTTCTACACCTAGCGAACAAGACTCCCATCGACTGGTTCAGCAAGCTACAGTCAACAGTCGAGACCGCAACGTTCGGATCCGAATATGTTGCAGCCCGTACCGCCACTGAGCAGATCATTGACCTACGAAGCACATTCAGGTACCTAGGAGTACTGGTCGACACACCGACCATGATGTTTGGAGACAACGAGACGGTAGTCAACACCGCCTCAATGCCACACTCAAAGATTCTCAAAAGACACAATGCGCTTTCCTACCACCGTACTAGGGAAGCTGTTGCTGCAAGTATCTTGAGATTTCATCATATCCCTGGATCTACTAACCCTGCAGATATCCTCAGCAAGCACTGGGACTATACATCGGTATGGCCTATGTTGAATGCACTACTGTTTTGGTCAGGAGATACCAAGGATTGCGGAAAGAAACACTCAGAGTCGACAGTCGCCACTGAGGGGGGTGAAAGCGTTATAGTTCCTCCCACGACTCAGAGTATCCATGAGTAGATTGAGTCATGCTTTATGAGTCAACACGATGGAACAGAGAACGCTGGCAAGTACACGTTCTCAACGAAACCAAAGGACACGATAAACTGGAGTATTCGACAGGAGTAAAGAATCCTGCCAACGAACCGTTTCCCGCAGATACCACGTTGACTTCCGTATGAATCAAGATCAACTACCACGATGCATTGATCTAACACGCTACGAACTAGCTTTACTGATCGCATCAATCAAAGCTCACAACACAGATTATGAATTACTAAGAAGCAAACTTTGCATTTGCCTTGCACTCGTCTTGAATAGTTGCAGTTGATCTCGTCGGGTGGTAGCTACCTCTACAAGATCCCTCTATTCAAGTAGTATTTCCTCACGTTAGCAACAGGAAACAAAACTCATATCTATTTGTTGTTTTCTCTGCTGAACTGCTGACGGCCGAGGAAATCACATTGTCGCGTCCTTTTTGAATGATCGATTGCTCTGGATAACAAGAAGAAGCTGCTGGTGATTGGTCGCTACGGAGGAGGAGGCTCTATTAACTCCAGCTCTATCAGAGTGTGTACTGTTGCCACTGTCGCCGATGAAACTGTACGGTAGCGGTCTACAATGGCTGGATTAACTATATTCGGTTTTGTGCATGTATTCGTCATAAGGATCCAATGCGAGGCAACCGAGTGCTGCGAGCAAAGCCGAACCTGAGTGTGTTCGGTACTGTTGCCACTGTCACCGATTGATGTAACTCTACGGTAACTCGCTACAATGGCTGGATTGGCAATATTTGGTTGTGCATGCATTCGTTATAAGGATCCAATGCAAGGTACCGGTAACCCTAGCGAGCAAAGCCGAAATTTCGGTACTGTTGCCATTGTCGTCGATGTAGCTATACTGCATTCCTCTACAATGGCTGGATTCATAATGTTCGGTTGTGCATGTATTCTTCATAAGGAACCAATGCAAGATACCGGCAACTGAGTGTAGCCAGCAAAGCAGAACCTGAGTGTGTTCCGTACTGTTGACACTGTCGCCGATGTAACTGTTCGGTAGCTGGCTACAATGGCTGAATTAACTATATTCGGTTTTGTGCATGTATTCGTCATAAGGATCCAATGCAAGGTAACCGAGTGCAGCGAGCAAAGCCGAACCTGGGTGTTTTTGGTACTGTTGCCAGCCCACTGTCACCGATCGATGAACTCTACGGTAGCTAGCTACGATGGCTGGATTCATAATGTTTGGTTGTGCATATATTCGTCATAGCTAAGGATCCAATGCAAGATACCGGCAACGGAGTGTAGCCAGCAAAGCGGAACCTGAGTGTGTTCAGTACTGTTGCCACTGTCGCCGATGTAACTGTACGGTAGCAGGCTACAATGGCTGGATTAACTATATTTGGTTTTGTGCATGTATTCGTCATAAAGATCCAATGCGAGGCAACCGAGTGCAGCAAGCAAAGCCGAACCTGAGTGTGTTCGGTACTGTTGCTACTGTCACTGATCGATGAACTCTACGGTAGCTAGCTACGGTGGCTGGATTGACAATGTTCGGTTTTGCATCTATTCGTCATAAGGATCAAATGCAAGGTACCGGTAACGGAGTGTAGCCAGTAAAGCGGAACCTGAGTGTGTTCGGTACTGTTGCCACTGTCACGGATCGATGTAACTCTCTGCCTACGGTACCGTAGCTGGCTACAATGGCTGGATTGCATGTATTCGTCATATGGATCCAAGTACCAGGTAGCGAGCAAACTGAGGAAACAGGAGACGAACGCTGAAAAAAAGCCGAATAGCTAGCTAGTAGATTGAAGATTCGATTGTTTGATCATTCGATCGAATGATCGGATCAAACAGAGCATACGTACTCAATCGATTCGTTAGAGTTGGGGATTTGCGTTGATTTTTCACGTACCGCGTATGTGTGTCACATGGATAGGAATGAAAACTTGATACGTACGCCTAAATAAATCTATGAAAATAAATGTGTTTCGCGTATGCATGGAGGACACACATGGAGTTTGGTTAGGGGGGGTGTCAGGACGTCAGGACACACTGACTTGACAGGCCGATCAGATTCGATTCGATTCGCCGTCGATGACTTGCGGCTTGGGCTCGGGGATGGGCAAATCTTGCAATAGCCCTGTGTTGTGATGGAGTGTGACTCGCCAAAATCAGTTAAAAAGACGAAATTCGTATTTTTGCCAGAAGATAAATTTAATTGGATTGCATTTGATTGGATTGCATTGAATTGGATTGAATTGGATTCCAAATAGTACTGTTATTTATATAGTAAACTGTAATTCAATGCAATCCAATCTAATCCAATGCAATCAAATCAAATCCAATAGAGAAAAACAGCCAAAGTAAAAGATTGGCTTAGCCCACCCATTTTTTACAAAAACGCTCTAATAAATTCAACACAGGGCCATGGGCAAGTTTGCTCATCCCCCTCGTCTTGAAGAGACAATCCGTAGTGCAAGGCCAAGAGCAAGAGCTGCCCAAGTCGGTCTCGAGTCTGGAGTAGTTAGAGATACCGGTAGTTAGACTAGCTAGACTAGTTGATGAGAACGCATTGAGTTTTTGATTTGATTTCTTTACCAGTGAACCTACACTTTGCCTCCAAAATGACCACCTTTAATTAAACAAAGAAACAAAGAAACTCCTGAGCCTCGAGGGCCCAAACTCCAAAGTACAGTACTTAAGTGCAGTACAGTTAGTAGTTTCTTCAGCTGTTTCTTCTTGTATGCCTTGATGCCTTGACATTTTTCAAGAAGCCCCCCATCCCCCATCCTCTACATTCTATTAATACATACAATGTCTTGACGCTTATTTATTTGTATCAAAGTGTTCCACGACTGTCCAATGTGGAGTCCCAATGTTTTCGAGAACCGGTACCACGACTTTACTATACAGTACTATTGAGTACTACAGCGTACGCTACTACACAGTGTACCGTACTGTACGACTGTACATGTACTATCCAAGTCTCGACGTTGGCGAGTATCGTAAAATAAGAACCCTTCAGATCTGGAATAATCATTGGCCAAACTCCGTAAGAATGTCAGAACCACTAGGGAGAAAAAGAAGGCATTGGGGAAAGAAACTACGCACAATTGAGAAGCAGCTGCTTCTAAAGGCCGCAGTGTACTTGGAGAAGTTGATGACCTCCCACAAAAACAAAAGACTCGTTTGGACATTTTAAAAATTTGTACAGCTCCAGAGTACTTAAGTGAATAGCCAGAGTAGAGTACGTACTGTATGCAACAATGCATGACACCTCCCACAACCCACAAGCTTGACGAAGCTGTTCCGAACCACTTTTTTCACTCTCTTCTTTGAGAAAAAGAAGGCATTTGGAAAACAGACTACTGACTATGCCACACTTGACACTTTTCTTCTTGAGAACAAGCTGGTTTTTAATTAATGGTCTGGATTGGAAGTAGTTCATGCCTCCCGATTGAACAAAAAGAGTCACTCGCGAGACATTCGCAAATCTATACTATTAATAGTACTAGAGTAGAACGGTATTATTAATAGTCCTAATCGATAATCGTACTGACTCCAAGTGCAGTATTGTATGCAACTACATGTATGCAACCTTCCAGTGGCTTGTCGCTTGACGAAACTGTTCTTCTCTAAGATCTACGAACTCCTTACCCCTTGGAACCACCCACTTTTTAACTGGCAACCACTTGGAACTTCGAACGCATCAACTATCGATAGCTACTACTAGCTGCAAACAACAACATGACGATGCCCAAGCCAGAGCCAACTGCTACCACAACCATGCCATGGGGCAGCAACAGTTCAAGGAACAATCAGGAGGACTATGATGATGAAGATGCCATGAGTGAAGTGTATTCGACTGTCCACGGCAATGAAGAATCTGCAGAGCTGAAGACTGCCAAGCAGAAAAAGGAGGAAGAAGCCATGCTGGTTCAGGCAACCCAAGAGAACAAGGCTGTGTGGATGTTTCGCATGTTGACAACCTTGGTTCTGGTGGCAGTAGCTGTGGCTGTCTGCTTGGTCGTGGCACTCAATGAGAAGAATAACGAGAAGAAGGACTTTGAAACCGCCTTTCAAGAGTTGGGCGGGCAGCTTGTTACCACATTTGAGTCTCACGTCGTTCAGAGGAAGGGAATCATTGACAATTTCTCCATGGAATTGACTTCTGATTGCAAGAACGACCTCAACTGCACTTGGCCGTTCTTTACCCCAAATGACTTCGAACGTCGAGCCAAGATGACCTCAGAGCTTGCCACCATTACACAGCTTTTTCTTTTGCCCAGGGTCTACTCAGAACTTGAGGAAGTGTGGGTTGAATATACTCAAGAGAAACAAGGTTGGATTGTAGACAGCCTGAAGGCGCAAGGCAGAGAAGAACCCATTGAAGCCAGCCCAGTCCCCCCCTTTGTCTACAAGACAGTTGGTGGAAAGCCCATCCCCATGAACGCCAGCTTGTGGGATCAGTACTTTCCTGTGTGGATGCAGTTTCCTGCTGCCACAATGACCTTTGTCAACTACAACATCTACGGATCAACCGAAGTTGGAAAGCTCCAGATTGATGCTGTTTACGAGACCGGAATGCCTTCCTTTCCAAGGTCCGTCAACTTTTGGGATGAGAGCACGCATGAAAGTGTTGTTTACCAGCTGATCAAGCTGATGTCTCCAGGTATGTGCAAAGAACGCTCATCGTCCATGCTTTCTGACTTCATCCTCACATTTGGCCCTGCCAGAGTATAATGGGGATCCCTTCTATACCGGCTACTCTCCCGTCTGGAGTAGCTTGGATCCAAATGACGAGACAAGGGAAATTGTTGCGGTTCTTGTGATAGGAGTTGTTTGGAACACATACTTCCAATCTGTCTTGCCAGAAGGAACGAAGGACATCACTGTCATTCTTGAGAATCAGTGTAACCAGACCTTCACCTATTCTGTCGGTGGGAAGACCGGAGAATTCCAAGGGTTTGAAGACTTCCATGACCCCAAGTACGACTACCTTGAGTTGGGCAGCAACATCAACGATGTGATTGGAATCGATCGAGACCAGTTCACTTTGAATGGGGGAAACTGTGACTACAGCATTCGTGTCTATCCCTCCAAGGAATTTGAAGAGTCCTTCTATACCAACCGCGCCACTGTTTATGCCCTGGCCTTGGCTTTTGTCTTTGTCTTCACCTGCTCCGTCTTCCTCTTGTATGATCGCATGGTTGAGCTCCGTCAAAAGAAGGTGATGAAGGCAGCATTACGATCTGGAAAGCTGGTTTCATCTTTGTTTCCCGAAGAGGTACGTGTAGACGGACAAGGAGCAGCTAGCTAGCAGACCTTGTTACCACTAGTGGGTCACTCAAATGTTCACATCCTTCTATCAGGTGCGAAACCGACTCTACGAAGAAGAAGAGGCCAAGAAGAAGGCTGTTGAACCAGGCTGGAAAAGTATGAAAGCTTCGGAACGCCAATCTCAGTCTCATGCCATCGCCACTCTCTATCCCGAAACTACAATCTTCTTTGCTGGTAAGACAGAAACTGTGTGGCACTAGTTTTATGTGGCTCGGTACTTTCTAACGTGTGGTGTGTTCTCCTGCTGTTTCTGCTTCAGATCTTGCTGGTATGTGATGGCAGGGACAAGAAGAGTGTCGTCTCTGGGGCTTGTTGCTAATGCCTCCTCGTTTCATGTTGTCGCTGTAGGCTTCACAAAATGGTCTTCATCTCGTACTCCTGTTGAGGTGTTCGATCTCTTGGAGACGGTGTATGGTGAATTCGACAAATTGGCCAAGCGATACAAAGTCTTCAAAGGTATGCCACTAGACTCATACTATGCATGATTGGTGCTTATGTCAGAACATCACCTCATTCTTCCTCTCTGTTGCTTTATAGTTGAGACTATTGGGTAAGTTCAGGGACCCTCAAATACCAGTTTGCTTTTCCGTTTCCACGCTCACAGAGGTTCTCATGACTCCCAAAGTGACTGCTATGTGGCTGTCACTGGTAAGTCCAACGAAAGAGATATAAGATGAATTTGAATGCCAGATGGAACAAGCAGTGCCCTCATGTGGATCTCCCCTCATGTGGATCTCCCCTCATGCTGTAGGTCTTCCCAAGCCGCAAGAAGATCATGTGGTGTAAGTAATGAAATGGAATTGAAGGTTCTTATTAACTAGGAGCGGTGCTGGAATGGAAAGTGTGAACTGGATCTTACATGAGTATATTGCCCTTCTCGTTTCAATTGCGCGCAGACTGATGGTTAAGTTTGCTCGATCATGCATGGCCAAGTTCCAGCTTTTGACCCTGGATCTGTCGGAAACTCTAGGAGAGGACACCAAATCTTTGGAAATGAGAGTTGGCCTTCACAGGTAAGATTGGTCTGTCTCCCCAAGTGAGGAGCGGAACACGAACTCAACGCACTGTTTGCTGGCACATTCCTCAGTGGTCCTGTGACAGCCGGGGTACTTCGTGGAGACAAAGGTCGATTCCAGGTAAGATTGATGGCTACTTGCTCCACCCCCGATGGTTCTGTACTAATGATTCAATGCTTGATTTGACAGTTGTTTGGAGATAGCGTCAATACTGCAAGTCGAATGGAGAGCAACGGTGTCAAAGCAAAGATCCATTGCAGTGAAGCAACCGCTGAGGCTTTGCGCAAGGCAGGAAAAACAAACTGGCTGCTCCCCAGGGAAGATAAGATCGTGGCAAAAGGCAAAGGCGAAATGTAAGACACACATGTTGTTTTGTTTTTGCATATCATCTTTCGCAAGCTAAAGTCTGCTTTGACTCTCTCTGTGCAACCCAAGGCAAACATACTTTGTTGAAGTGAAGGGGCTTGCTGCAACCAGTACATCCGGTTCTGCTCTCTCGTCGGTGTCTATTCGAAACTTGTCGGCATCGGGTGTAGAAGGCTCAGGCGCACAGGACAGTCAAAGTGACATCGAGGTTTAGATGGGGACCATCATCCACAAAAGACGAGCCTCTATTATAGAGGGCCACCTACATAATTTCATGAACCAAGCCGTGATATAGGGTGTCATACCGCGGCCCAATTGCCCATTGACTCCAACTTCTAAACTCCATTTGGGCGAAATCTTCCGTAGTTGAGCGGTTTGAGCCGGTGATTCTCGGCGATGCATGTATTACAAACTAAACGCTTAGAATTTGAGATCCAACTGTTTTATAGTGGCTTAGAGAGAGTTGGGAGCAAGGACCGTGTCCGACGGGCATCGTCAAAGCTGCTATACACAGATTTCTTTCAGCTTTTTTCTCTGCAATGTCGTTTTCTCATTGCTTTCAATCTAGGAGTGTGCGCATTGTTCGCGTGAACACTGGTAACTGCTCGTCTTCGAAACCGGCACGCTGTTCCATGGCAGGCAGAGCGCTGGAACCAGGCGAAAACAAGGCCGAGAGCAGCGACAAGGATTGAGTGGAGAACAACTCAGTTTGGGGGGCCGCGGGAAGCAACGACGGAGAGCCTGGAGGAACTGACAAGGATGGTGAGGTGTGGGAAGGAGGAAGGGGGCCTCGGAGAAGGGAAGAATCGTCAGGCGAAAACGCTGAAGCCTGTGTTCCACCAAATCGAAAAGATGTTCCCGTAGAGGCGGTCGATCCTGATATGCGGCGGAGTCCTGAGGGGGGAGTCAAGGACGACATACCCGCAGTTGTGGGTACCCCAAGCGGAGAGACTGAGGTCATCTGGGAGAGAATCCAGGAAGGCGAGACGGAGGCCATCTCGTCATTGGCATGGATCCGATCAAATGCAAGAGGCCGCGATGCCACTCCATGCGGTGTACGCCAAACAGGAGCAACGGGGCAAGAAGATGATTTGGGGTGAGGCTTGGTGGTCGAAAAAGCCAGGGGTCGAACGTATGCAACCTCCGCACGTGACTGTGGCTCGGGTTTGTGTTTCTTGTCTTGAGGAGTCTCTGCGTCACTAGCCATGACGGGATTTGAGGCCATGACAGTGCGGGGTGTGCTACACAAACTAGCAGCCGGAATGCCAGTACAGGTAGTTGGCTTTGGGGCATACAGCTTGGCCGCAGGCAATGGTACGCCACTAGTGGCGACTTGAGGCAAGAGGAAGACCATGGTGGGCGAAGCGCGCAACTGGGTAGGAGGAGGCATGGTGTCGACTTCAGATACCTCCGTTCCAACATTGTCAGGATGACGTGGAGGGGCTTTTGCAGAAATATCCTTTGGCGTTGACTTGTTTTCCTTCTTTTTGTTGCTGTCCTTGCCACCCGACTCCACCTCCGCTTGCTTCTTTTGGGTCGTGAATTCTTCGCTCCGCTTGGTTGCTGTTTCCTTGGTTGTGCTCTTACCTGAGACCATGGGAGCAATTGCCGCCGCGTCGTTCGAAGCTGCCTTCGAAGCGGAATCCGCCTTGCCGCCCTTCCGGTTGCGGCGAATGGCACGTTTGTTTCTAGCAATTTTGGTCTTCTCGCTTTCAACCTCAAGATTGCCCTTTCCAACAACTGTGACAACCTTTGGTTTTGGTTGGGCGGGTAACTTGCTGGCGAACTTTCGCCTCTTGCTTCTCGACCCGTCGCTTTCAGAGAGCTTGCCGCTTGATGCTTGTCGTTTCATTGGGGTGCCCTTGGTCTTGGGAGGCGGTGGCTTTCGCACACTGACCTTTTCTTCGACGACACGTTTCTTCGGGGGCTTCTTGGCAGCGGGAGGCGGCTTCCGAGCACTGGCCTTGTCTTCGAGGATACGTTTCTTCGGGGGCTTCCGAGCACTGACCTTTTCTTCGAGGATACGTTTCTTCGGGGGCTTATTGGCAACGGGAGGCGGCTTTCGCGCACTGGCCTTGTCTTCGACGAAAGGTTTCTTCGGGGACTTATTGGCAACGGGAGGCGGCTTTCGCGCACTGGCCTTGTCTTCGACGAAGGTTCTTCGGGACTTCTTCGGAGGCACTGACATTGTCTTTGGATGTAGCGTCTCCAGCTCTACTGACGGTACTGTCATCATCGTCCTCATCTGCTGCCGGAGGATCCTTGTTGGTTTTCGGTTTTAGCTTGATGGTGACAACTATGGAATCTTCGTGTTCATAGATATAGGAAACTCCTTCTGGTTGTGCCCCCATCGAGATACCAAATCCCTCCAACGTCTCGTTATCAATGGTGTCGAAATAGTTCCATTTCTTCTCGCGCAGAGCCTGGCACGTCTTCTCGATTGACCGTCGAGGAGTAACCTCGCACCAGATATCGCCTTGTTTCTCGAGGAAGCGACCTCCGCCTGCAGCAATTTTCTTGCAGATTTCTGCGGCCACGCCTTGTTTCTGGGTACGATGTGTCGCATTGTAGCGGGGTTTGTGCTGCTGAACAAGGGCCCGGAAGTAGGTGTTCCTGGCCACAGAAAGTAAAAGAGAAGTAGGAGTGAGAGTCTTGAGCTATGGCAAGGCAAACAAGAGTAACCAGTGATACTGTCGCCATTATCTTACCCCTATTCATTTTGCGGAGTGGAAGACGGAAAAGTGAGAACCACAGCAGCTTCGCGTCGTATAATGCCTGTAATGCGGTGCTTACCTCATGAATCTGAGCAAGGCCACCTCGGCCAAATATAACGTCCTGCGAACGAGGGCAGCCCTTGATGGGAGTTCCTTCCATCCGCCATTTGTCTTTCTTCTCCTTGGGCTTCGTGTTGTTGCTCGCTTGGCTACCACTGGCGGCAGCAAGGTTGGGCTTCTTGCCAACGGGCAGAGGCTGCTTCTCGGTTTGTCTGTGACTGCGGCGATCCATGGTGGACTGTCAATCAACACAACAACAACAACAATGGCAAGCACAACAACAAAAAGATGATCTAGCTAGCTACGGTACAAGTGGCTGCCACAAGTGAGCAATGTGGATAATGAGATTGCTGCTTCCTTCACGATTCGAGGCAAAGTGTGTTTGAAATCGTTTTTGCGGCCGCTAATGGGAGTTGGGAGTTGGGAAACCAATGCGCCGTCAGCGGGTTCCGGCCTGACTTAGGGCGGGAAACGAAGATGAGTGCCGGGCCTCGACCAGCGACCGGACCGTACGCCACTTGCGTATCCTTACAATTTCCTTTTAAAATTATGGCTTTGGCTGGATCTCTACGCAAGCTCTCGATACGATAGCTATCTTGGCTTGACCAGAGGAATACGGTAGCTAGCTAGCTAGCTACGGTAGCTTACTTCGATCTCTTAATGGTGTGGTACCGGTACCGGTACCACACCTATTCTAATTCTATCGTTTATCGTTGGTTGTACCATTATGGTACCCGTTCAGTTGCCATCGATGTCGCCGCCTGCATGATTATCTAAAACATGGCACTGACAGCCGCAAGAATCGTCGAAGCCGCAACGAAGGAAAGAGCAACGGTTCCTCCACAACGATCGAGAGCCCCGGACGCGCCCGAACCTTCCAGATTCGCCCCAGTGGTGCCCGAGTTGTCCTGATCATTCGCTCCGGATGCGCCCGTGTTGTCCTGGTCATTCGCCCTGGACGAGCCCGAATTGTCCTGATTTGCTGCTGGTTTGCAAGCCACAAGAAAGTCCGCAGGCTGGAAAGACTGGGTGTTGTCGTCGTCCGGAACAAGAGTGGGGGCGACCACTTGAGCCTGGACTGTAGGGATGTCAATTTTCTCCAAGACGGTGCTTCGAACTTGGCTGTCCTACATGTACTCTGCCGGGATGGTAGTATAATGCACCTATTCTAATTCTATCTTTTAAAGTTGCATGGTATCATTTCCGTTGCCACCGATGTCGCCGCCCGCATGATTATCTACAACATGGCACTGACAGCCGCAAGAATCGTCGAAGCCGCGACGAAGGAAAGAGCAACGGTTCCTCCACAACGATCGAGAGCCTCGGACGCGCCCGAACCTTCCAGAGTCTGATTCGCCCCGGACACACCTGCACTTCCCAGATTCTCACCTCCTTTGCAAGGCACAAACTCCGCAGACTTGAAGAAAGACTGGACGTTGCCGTTGTCTGGGACAATCGTGGGGGCGACAACTTGATCCTGAACCCTAGGAATGTCAATCTTCTCAGAGACGGTGCTTCGAACTTGGCTGTATACATCTTGATTGAAAGACCAGCCAGTGACGACCACGCTATTGAGGGAAACGTCCACCATGGCTTGCTTGTCAGCGGCATCAGTGTGTGAAAAGTAGAACGTGTACAATTGCATGGTCAAATCCGACTCAGAGGAGCCTTGCTGCAGGTACATGATGCTGGCAGAGTCCTCGTCACCCCACACACACTCACTGTCACCATCGATCAGGCAGTCACTACGTGAAATCCATGATGTCAGCACTTTATCAACATCTGCGTGCGCAGCATCGTGTTGATCATTGGTCAGCAGTGATCCCAGCTCTTGACTGTCTGGTCCATCAAGTGAATCGTAGCCAGCAGCAATGGCTTCATGAACCGTTACAGTGGCTTTGTTTGCGGCGCAAAGATGAAGATCGTGTCTTTCGGGGGAGCTGACGACGACCCTCCCAATATTCCCCAAGGTGTCGGTCATGTTTTGCTCTAGAGCCTCCCAACTAAGCTCATTGATTGAGTCAATCTCAAATGCTTTGATCGCATGCCCAAAAGCCAAGCTGGTGCTGTTCATAATGTCCCCGACAAAGTATGAATTGGTGACCTCAGATGCATCATAGTAGAATAAAGTGTTGTAACTGCTTGCTACTTCATGCGAGTTGTCTGCGGCGGCGAAAGTAAGTCCCAAGGTGGCCGTTGTGAAAGTGGATAGTTTCATGTTTTGGTATTCGTTGTGGTTGCTTTGTTAGTAAGTTTGTTTTGGTTTTATGACAAGAGTTCGTTAGGTCTGCTGCTCATATTGCCAGGCGCCTAAGCTACTGTACCGTGAAAGCAACTGAGCATGAAGGTTTCCATACGGCTGTGCAGCAACCGTGAGCTTTGTTTGTTTGTCACAAAGATTAGTAGTTGTTATTTTTGTCTACTGCGCCGAGGGCTTGCTTTTACTTCACTCAGAATGACAAGGGGCGCTACTGGCCCCTTGTTCGAGTAGAAGGGTCGCGGGCACGCTAAGGCCCTTAAGGGTGTTTCATTCAATTTTGGTTTCTGTAGGAGTGCACGCTAAGGCCTTCCTTGTAGTGTGGCGCGCTAAGGCCATGGTCTAATGTTGTTGGTTGGTTCTGAGGAGGTGGTTCGAGGGATGGGAGATGGAAAGGCTAGAGTCGGCCCGTAGCACACCATTGATATAATCTTGAATGCCTTCTGTCTTCAGTGATTTGGTGGACGCGTCTAGTTTCCCTATCGCGTATAGTATGTATCCCTTGGAGCCAAGACTGTTTGTAGGGCTTGGATTTGGTGAGGAGAGAGATGAGTGAGTGTTTGAAGCGTGAGCTGTGCGTAACCTACGAAAAGCCCACAAGGAAGTCTCTAAACGAGTAGATGCGGTAAGGTTATAGTTATAGTTAAAGAAACAGTTTCTCATCTACCTGATCACGAAAGGTGTCTTCCTGTGTCGTCACCTGTACGAATCTTCAATCTGAGGTGCGGTACCCGTACCGGTTACTAAATAGTAGCTTGAGAAGCTTTGGGTCACGCATCTCCAACTGCACAACACGACAATATTCTGCACAGTGCATGGGGGAAGTCCTTGTTGGCCCGCACCACCATTACATGACTGTCAACTAATACCAGTACCGGTATCTACCTGATAGCTGCCTTGAAGACATACTGTACGACTGTAGACGAGCGATGGGATAGGAAATGACGAGCTCTCCGCTGAGAAAATACGCAGCCGGTTCAAGCAACAAGCAAGGTTCCAACGGTACTACGTAGAACCATTGATCATGATGTATAGTCTAGTAGTCCCTTGCGGTACCGGTAGGCTCGATTGACACATAGACGCATATATTGCCTATAGTACGAGGTAGGATACGGTGCTGGTCGAGGACACGAGCGACAGCCAGGTCAAGGTGCTTCTCTAAGCCGCTTACGTTTCCCCTCCAATTAGTTAGATTGAGACTCCAGATATCGGTGCATGTAATGCACTTTGTGACTTCGTAGCTTTCTTGTGTGCGACACTTCAATCGATCTTTTCTACGTTGACAAAGTCGCTTTCATTCGTCGTGGGCATCTTGGTTTTCAAGTTACTTTTAGAACCGAAGTCTGGCTGGTTCTCCTGCTTCACAGGCCCGGTCTATACCATACATTTCCACTCCTTCCAAACGACTTTTGTTCCATTTCAACTTCGCCACATGATCGGCATCAAGTCCAGCAGAATCTTGATGTCCTTCCAACCAAACTCCATTTCGCATTCTTCGGCCACTTCCATGTCAAAGAGTATTTCCCGCATGAGAGAAATGGGCGATGCGGCAATCGCCTCCCAACCTTCCATGGGGACTTCATCCAGGAGCTTGTCGTCCATCATGCGGATCCGCTCCACTAAAATGTCAAACATTGCCTCGGAGAGCTGTTCTTTCGGGACCAAATCGTTCTTTTCGACGTCCCAAGCCTCGTGGCTCCCATTGGCGGCGCTACCAACAATCATTGTCACTGCCAGTTGTTCCTTGATCTCGGCGACAGTTTCATTCCACGTATCGTCATCCGAGTACGTTGTTGATGTCTTGTCGTCGTCGACGACATCGGCGGTTTTTGTCGGAGAAGTTCGAGGCGAGTTGGCGTGATTGGACTCCAGAGACGCCTCGTTGTCGACAACAAGACTCTTTTCCAGGTTGCCAGTGGTCGCTTTGTGGTGGGTACTAGAAGAAGAAGTAGAAGAAACCGAGCTGGCTTCGTTGTCGAAAGTCTCCAACAGGACGCGAGACACTGCAAACCCGTGATCGGGTCGCGGCACCGTCGATAGCATGGTCACCGTCGTACGGTATCGAAAGGACGTGTGGGTTCGCAAGAAACGAACCTTGCTAGACGAATTCCTCTTTCTGCTGTCTGTCTTTCCTTGCTCGGGAGTTGTCACCGCCCTTTGGGCCAACGTTTTGTCAAGCCTGAGCGTCAATTGAACAATCCCAATGGCCGCGGCACCGAAATCGGAAACCTGGAGTCTTAGTCGAATGAGTCAAATCGATCTGTCCACAGAACGAGAACACCCAAACTGTTTCCGTCACTTCCGTCTAACATCCCATCTGGATTCTGGATCTGTTATAACAATTCTGCAGAATCCCAAAATTCTGCAGAATTCAGAGAAAATATCTGCAGAAAAACAAATTCTGCAGAATTTTAATTTTTTTCTTATGCAATTCTGCAGAATTTTATTTTTCTGCAGAATTACGAGTCATAGGCCATTGAAGTCCTGAACCCAGTAAAGACACCACATGTTGTGGCTTTGCTACGCCTGATCAGCCATAGGTAATCACAATTTACTCATGAAACAAGAAGCAAAACTGCATGCTATCTTAGTTAATCTTGCTAGTTTTGCGATCGCGATCTCTGAATGAAAGCTTGTAGCATTATCCTTTCAATTACCACAAATTCAAGAGATTGGATCTAAATCTATTTGCTTTGAAAAATGCCTTTTGTTGTAAATGACAAGTTTGTGGAGCGTCTACGTGGTGTGTGGTGAGTGGTGGCGGCTCAGAAGATTGAAATTGTAGCCATAAGGGGGCAGTGAACTTGCTGGTGCAACTGCTATTGAGAGTCAAGTTCCTGTTGCTGGCTCTGGCTCAGAAGATAGCAAAAAAGTGTACCGTGCTCTCTTCAACTTTCTAACCTTTGGTATCGAATCTGAAAACCTCCCACCTGGCTACAATGACGATGCAACTGCTTGCAAAAGAACCTCGAAGGAACCAAAGGATAAGTCTCGTAGTAAAGAGCTTGACCAAAACCAGTGGAAGGATATTGTTGATTTCGTGGAAAGTTGGCATGCCGCCAAAAGTAAAAAAGCCAAAACAGCTATCATGAAGCAGAAAGGACAGGGAGGCAAAGGATATCGATTCATCCAGAGATACCGAGTTACTACTATCAATTTACCTGATAACCAAGGAGAGAAAAAACAGTTAGAACGTTATGACACTGTACAGGAGACGGCGCAACTTCAAGATGGTCCTGCTGACGTACCTACCAAGATTGCTCTTCCACAGCTGGAAATATTGATGCCATTGCTGCTGCTCATGCAATGGGATCAAATAATAAAGCACCAGATCCAATCCATCGTATTCTTTGTCAGACTTATTGGAATGTGACATTGGAGCAAGTGCAACAGTTCATTACATTGAACCCAATTTCCAATACAACCAAGCCTCGGATTCCCAAACCCGATGGGGCAAGGAAGCCCATTGTGTCGGGTGATTGGCGTGATCGCTTTCAAGCCGATCTCATTAACATGACCAAACCCCAATCGATACCAAAAACCAATTCCAAGCTTTCAGTTGCCACTGAATAGTCCGGATGGGCCCATCCACTCCCCCACAACACATATAGTAGAGACTCTGTCATTAGATGGAAAACCAAGTCCGATCGTGGCCAATACTCAAAAAGAAATTATGGTAAGCTCAGCAGGGAGGGATCTACGTAGACAAGAATGTCAACAACAGCGAACAAAACGTCAGAAAGACCAAGCTGAAGCAATGAAAAAGAGGTACAAGGCTTCTCTACCTGACATCCAGCTGGGGACAGCTGTCAAGGTCAAAGTGCATAGCAATGATATTCATCAAAGCAATGGCGTACTTGGTATTGTCTTCAAATGGACACCATCCGGTGGAGTTCAAATTATCACTTCAGTTGGTATTGTTACGAAGCAATCCAACAAGCCATATATTATTCCAGCCAATCAATATCTGGTCCTCCCTGATGATGCTATTGCCGTCATGCCAGAATTGGCAAAACTCCAAACCGATGTTAGAGCTTCTAGAGGTGTCTTAGATCGAAGCGTGTATCCTTCCATTGGGCTGGTGCTGCACATCAAAAGCTGTACGAGCGGGAAAGAGCTGCCCCACGCAAATGCAAATGTAAAAAAGGCTGTTCCAAAGGCTGTGGCTGCAAGAAATTGGAGATCAGCTGCAGTAGTACTTGTGGATGCGGCGGATTCTGCGACAACCCTTTCAACTGCTGATCCGCAACTCAAATGGCATTCAAAAGTATTGATAGCAGTAACATAAAGTATCGTAACCAGAGATATATCACAGTATCGAGCACAGTATCGGCATCGTCATCCTGGTTGCATGTTGATTGTGAATGGAGATCTTCTTTGTGCCATGTTCTTTTGTAACTGACGCCCGTTGCATATTTTATGTACGGTCCAGGCTAAATTATGTATGCAGCTGTGCTGGCTAAAATGAGAAATTGTCAAGATACCATTCGAGTACAGTAAGGTAGTCACAGTAAGGTAGTCGATGTTGGCAATGTGAGAAGAAAATTATGGGTACATTACTGAAGATGCAGTCACCACAGCAAATGAAGAACACCAGATTCGATTTAATTAAAAAGGAGTTCACAATGGTAGCAGAGAACAGAAATGGGATCTTTTAAAAGGAGACCATGATGGGAGAAAAATAAAATGGCATAGCCTCCGGCCTAGCCGAAGGCGGCATCAAACACTGGAGCCCGAAGGCGGCATCAAATACTGGACTTATTCATTTCGGTTGTTGTGGTTTCGTTGATAGAAGAAGAAAAATGAAATAGCCTCGGGTAGCCCCAAGGCGGCGTCAAACACAGCTGTCAGTTTGGTTGTGGTTGGTTGGTAGTGGTAGTCGGTCCGTAGTGGCGTCGGTAGCGTCGTAGGATAATGCTAGCTGTTTTGCCAAGAGTCTTGCCCCTACGAAGTAGGCACTGACTTTCAAGGAAAATAGCGCAGCCGTCCGTGTGGCGTCGGTAGCGTCGGTAGGACAATGCTAGCTGTTGTTGCCAAGAGTCTTGCCCCTACCGAAGTAGGCACTGACTTCAAGGCAAAATAGCGCAGCCGTCCGTAGTGGTCGGTAGCGTCGGTAGGACATGCTAGCTGTTTTGCCAAGAGTCTTGCCCCTACCGAAGTAGGCACTGACTTCAAGGCAAAATAGGAGCAATCAAGGGAGTATAGTTGTTGTTGTTGTTGTCGTTGTTGTAGTAGTATAGTAGTAGTGTTGTCATTTGTTTGGTGGTGGTGGTACAGTAGTGGTAGTCCGTGGTAGTGCCATCATTGCTGGGTGAGTCCACTGGTCGGCGGTTGATTGTTGGGTCCCAAGACTGCTGACACTACTAATGCTCCAAGAAGTGGTCAGTAAATTGAATCGTGGTAATGGCTGTGTAGCTAACGCAAAGTAGACAGTAGTAGCTATGCTCAGATTATCCATTGGTTATGTATTGGGTGAGAATTGTCATCTGAATTACAGATTGGAGAGGCGTCGTGTTTTTTTGCTGTTGTTGATGGGAAGAAGTGTTGGTGGATTTTTTGTGTGGAGGAGTTGCCTCCAAAGATGGCGCCTGGCAGAGTGAGAGAGCAAGCCCTGAGATTCAAAATCCAGGTCATTGAAAAGAACAGCCTGGATTGAAAAAGAGCCTGGATTGATTCTGCAGAATTGGGTGGTCTGCAGAATCGGTGCAACACGTCGGTGTTTTTTTGCTGTTGTTGATGGGAAGAAGTGTTGGTGGATTTTTTGTGTGGAGGGAGTTGCCTCCAAAGATGGCCGCCTGGCAGAGTGAGAGAGCAAGCCCTGAGATTCAAAATCCAGGTCATTGAAAAGAACAGCCTGGATTGAAAAAGAGCCTGGATTGATTCTGCAGAATTGGGTGGTCTGCAGAATCGGTGCAACAGATCCTTTGCCGACAGAAAACATCAACATGGCATGTAAAATTCCAAAATTCCACAGTCCATAGTTGAGTCTAGCTGACTCTATATGTCTACCCCGCTGGTGCTCAAGGCACAGTATCATCCTACTTCTTTCTTTTCAAGAGAGCCATGAGTGATCATCGTGCTGGCAGGAGTATTTTCAAGAGGGCTCTGGACCCCAGTGGCCCTCAACCAGGTGCGTTCCCTCAGGCTGGAGCGCAGGTACCAGTAGCCAGTGTTGAGGCCCTACAAGAAGCTACTCCCGCTCAACCTAATGACAATACCGGTACTACTACTAATAATAATAACAATGAGACGGAAGGGTGGTGGAAACATGTGCCACTTCTGCGGAGAATGGATCGACAGGATGTATACTGTGGCTCTTTGATCTTTTGTCTCGTAGTTGTTTCCTCCGTGACAATTCTTGCGGTGGTCTTGAGCCTGAGCAAAAAGGACGAGGATACACAGCCTACAAGTTTGACAACGGAGTCCCCATCGCAAGCACCGTCGAATGCTCCAACCATGCAGCCCACAACTGTCTTGGAGGGATTTGTCCTTTCCCTCCTTCCATCTTCCACCGTTCAGACCATCCAAAGTGATGATTCCAACGACGCACCTCAATCCAAAGCATTTGATTTTGTCCTGGAAGACCCGTCCCTTTTGACTTTTCCTCATTGGCGCGTCTTGCAGAGGTTTGCCTTGGCAACTTTTTATCATGCTACAGGCGGTGACAGCTGGAAAAATAATAGTGGATGGTTGCAGTACGAAGTGGATGAGTGTCAGTGGTTTCATCATCAGGGTCATGGAAACGCCACCACTGCAATCAACCCCTGTCCTCAAATAATGAACCGACGCAACCATAACAACGAATCGGATGACGGAGGAGCAATTGAGCACTTGATCCTCCGAGACAAAAACTTACGTGGTGGCTTGCCTCCAGAGATATTTTTGTTGACATCTTTGAAGAGCATTGACCTGGACATGAATTCGATTGATGATGCAGACGAAAGACTATTACCAAGTGAGATTGGTTTGTGTACAGATTTGGAGTCTGTGTCTCTAGTTCACCTCAATCTTCAATCACTACCCACTGAAATACAGCATTTGAGCTTGTTGCGAGATCTGAATCTGAGTGACAACAATTATCAATCTTCGTTTCCATTTGAGCGCCTCAGTGCTGGCAGCATGACATCGCTTGATTTGTCTCAAAACAGGCTGGATCAGGCGATTCCTTCGTCTCTCTGGCAATTGACAGCTTTGAAAAGTCTTGCCATGCACTACAATCAAATGACAGGACCCCTGCCCACTGAGATTGGATTGATGGCTGGACTGGAAACGCTTTCCCTGAATGACAACCAGATCTCTTCGACAATTCCAATTGAACTTGCACAGCTGGTGTCCTCTGGGAATCTGACATCATTGCAATTGGAGAATAACCTTCTGTCTGGCATGGTTCCGGAGACTCTCTGTCCCATCTTGTCCGAAGAATTTGTGGTTGACTGCTATTCCAACGAATTCCTCTGTGGCTGTGATTGCAACTGCAGTGGCATTGAGGACATAATCTTTCCTCGTCAGACTGTGGCAACTATCCGGGAAGATCCTGATTCTCCACAAGCCCATGCATTTCGACATGTCAAGGCAAACCCTTTACTTTCTACCTATCCAACTTGGCGTGTTCTGCAGAGATTTGCCTTGGCTACCTTGTATCATGCAACGATGGGAGATGGCTGGAGAAATACCAATGGGTGGCTGCAATATGATGTTGATGAGTGTCAGTGGTATCAAGAAGACTCAGCTCCATGCAATGAACGTGATAATGGAGCATATCGAAACTTGTGGCTTCACGACAACAAACTCCGTGGCACGATACCTCCAGAGTTGTTCTTACTGACATCTTTGAAGAGCATAAAGTTGGGATTCGAAGAAGATGGCAACAGGGCGCTACCACTTGAAATTGAAAAGTGCACAGATCTAGAGTCAGTTTCCTTGTCTGGCTTTGGGCTTTCTACCCTGCCATCACAAGTTGCCGGACTGACGTCTATCAGACATTTGAGCATGGAAAACAACAATCTGGAGGTTGTGCCCAACAATTTGCTTTCACTGGGAGGACACTTGACGTCCCTTGATTTGTCCCATAATTTGATTCATGAGTTTTCATCAACCCTGGGGAAGTTGAGTCACTTGGAAACTCTTTTCATGTCATCCAATTCTCTGAGGGGAACAATCCCAGGTCATATGGCATCCCTGGTGACTGGTGGAAATCTGACAAGTTTGCGACTGGAGAAGAATGCTTTGACGGGTACTGTGCCAGAAGAACTCTGTCCGGCCCTTTCTCTTGACTGCATTGGAAATGGCAATGGATTCCTTTGCGGATGCGACTGTGTGTGTACAGGAATTGAGGCTTCTGCACTTCCCAGTGCCACCATTCGACAAGTCAATGAGTATGGGACAGCACAATCAGAGGCATTGCGCTGGGTGAAGGAGGACCCTTCTCTCTCGTCTTATCCACCGTGGCGTGTCCTACAGAGGTTTGCCTTAGCCACTGTTTACGTCATGACAAACGGAATACACTGGGAAAACAGGAGCAGATGGCTGAGTAGCTCCAATGAGTGCGAATGGTATCAAGATCATCCAATTCCGTGTGATGACCAAGGCAGGTTCCAACATTTGAGTCTCCGCAACAACAAACTCAGAAGGCGCGTGCCCCGAGAACTGTTCTTGATGTCATCTTTGAGAAGCATCCACATGGACTTTGTTGGGTCTGCTGTTAACTTAGTGTTGCCTCCGGAAGTCGGGCTCTGCACCGGTTTGCAGTCGCTGTCATTCTCTGGCCTTGAACTCGCAAGCATAGCAGAGGAAATCACACTTTTGTCTTCTCTCCGGCACTTGAGTTTGAAGGAATGCCGTTTGAATCGAAATAAGATCCGCCTGGTGAATGAATTGAAGACTTTGAAATCCCTTGACCTGTCCCACAACCGGTTGGAGCATTTTCCTTCTGCTATTGAAGCATTCACCAATTTGGAGACTCTTGATCTATCACACAACCTGCTTGTTGGGAGTTTTCCACCCAACATTTCCTTATTGGCACAACGAGGGGTGTTGAGAACATTGTATTTGGAAAACAATCAGTTGGCTGGCACCGTTCCGGCTGAGCTTTGTCCGTTAGGCCCTGGAAACTTAACTTTTGATTGCAATGGGTTGCTGTGTGGTTGTGACTGCAGCTGTGCGTAACCTCGCTTGCGTATGTCGTTGTAATTAATGTTATGTTATCCACTCTGGAAATCGTTTTCACTCCCACATAATGAAGTCACTGGGTGCTTTGTGGTCGGCACTTCGCATGGTTTTCCCGCACCATCGTTGTGGAGGGATGCATGCATAAAAAGGTCCTGGAACCTTGCTTGGGTTGCAACTTAGATATGTTAACACTATTAATCAATGTGCGTAATCGTAATTGGATTGCAACTGTTGCTGTGGTACGAAGTGAAAAGGACGAGCTAAGTACACCCGCAGACCATCAAGTGATGCTTCGACAGACCGAGCTGGCGGCATATTGAAATGGCTGCAGACTCAGATGCTGGCACGGAAGCTGGCTATGCCGCCAACGATGGCAGTTATGTAAGAGTTACTAGCTAGTTGCTGGAGTGGTGTTGTGATGACCGGAGTGCATGTCTGTCTCCAGGCGCAGACAGGAAAGGGGTTGCCTGCACTGTCGCATTCGCATCACCAATCTCTTGACAGGACCAGTGACAGTCTTGTTGCTTGAGGCGAGCCAGTTGTTTGCTTGTCGTCCTGATTCGATTCATCCCTTGACGACGCCTGTGTTGAAACGACGTGCCTGCAACGCTCGGGAGGCTATCGACAGTGTCGCGACAAGCCATGCCGAGAGCAACAGGTCCTACATGTCTCCCCGTTTACCCACGAGCACAGGACGAGCACAGGAAGTGTGTAGCTCTCGATATCACTAGTTATATGAAATTACATATGCAACACAGCAGAGGGTTCCAAAAGAATCTCATGTGTCTGCTCTGCTTCGAATGAATCAAACATCAAGGCACCAAAAAGTCCAAAAGCCAACCAACTGCTTGCATTAGTTTCAAGGTTAAGCTTTCATGTACATCAGCAGTCTTCCAAACTTCATAAGCTGCCTCTCAGTAAGTAAATCCTCCGCAATTCATTCATCATTCAAATACAATCCATACATTTTGAGTGTGCTCAGCTTTCACCACTCAGAAATACGCCTTGATTCTTCCTTCCAACCTTCTATATTCTTCTACTTCCTTGTCTTTACACCACTTGATTACTCCCACCAATTGCGACGGTAGGGAGAGTGTCTGACGACGGCCCGCATTTAGTAGTAACGGTAAGCGTTTGATGGTCCATAACCACCCTTTCCTACCCTGGGGGTTTGACTGTAGCTCCAGTAGTCACCACTATTCCTTCCACTGGTTAGGGCATTATTCCTGCAGGTAAACGGAAAACCAAGCAACATCATTCGTTAGATGAACCAAGGTCATGGTCACAAAAGCGCAACGACAACGAAAAGTCAAGCCTTGCCTGCTTCATACGGTACATTACATCCAGACTCCCTAATCCGTCACAACGAGTTTACCACCAGTTGCTTCGGCCGTACCTGCCTCCAGAGCGCCCGTAGTCATATCCATAGTCGTTGTGGTAGTTGTTGTACCCGTAGTTGTTGTAGCCATTTCCGTAGCCGCCATAGTTGCTGTAGCCGTTTCCGTAGCCGCCATAGTTGCTGTAGCCGTTTCCGTAGTTGCTGTAGCCATTTCCGTATCCGTTCATGTTTCCGTATCGGTTGGGGCGGTATCTGCGAGGACAAGTGAGGAAGAAACCAATGCGTCAGCTAGAACAGCACAGAGACGACAAGACAGCTTTGATAAGGGTAACACCACAGCGGTGTCGATGCATGAACTTTGGCATCTCGTGCTGTAGATAATTGCCTCTATGGCTACTACAGCGACGACGACGACGACGACGACGATTTGTGCAACGTACCGGTAGTACCTGCGAGATCACATCACAAACGAGAAACCAACAATCAATCAATCCATCAGATCATGATCCAAGTAACGACGACTCCGCCCTCGACCCCGAACCTCCTGAACTTACCTTCCTTGGTCATATCCATACTTGTTTGAGGAGTACATATTGTCGTCATAGTAAGGAGAGTAGTTGCTGCGGAACATCAGGAACAAGAAGCAAGATGTCAGAAATTTTTCGGCCAGGCACAGAAACTACACAACAATGCTCTGTTCTGTTCTTACCCGCCACCGTAGTTGTAGTTGCGAGGGTAGTAGTAGTTGGACATACTGCGGCTGTTGGTGTTGTAGCGAGGGGAGAAGAACTCTCGACGGTTGCTCTCGAAGGCATCACTGGTGATGTGATAAGGACTATCCTGATCAGCAATGATGGGACTTGAGTATCCGTTGTTCATGTAACCGCCGGTTTGGTAACCAGCAGACCAGGCAGCGGCCATGCCCAAAAGGGCCAAAAGGATCATGGAGCGAATCATGTTGATGGATGGATCTGTTTCGGTTTTCTTCGAAAATGAGTAATTGAAAGCCAAGCAAAGAAAAAGTGCGTACAAGGATTGCTTTTTTCAAAGAAGTGAGAGAAGGAAAGACACCAAACCTTTTGCTTCCTCCTCTCCAGTCTACCTCGATCGGTTCTTGATTGTGCTGACGAATGCAAAGTTTGTTGATGGTATGTCATCATTCTTCTGAAGAACTGGGCGCATCAATTGCCTCCAAGCGACTTTGCGAAAGCCTCCCACGGAAGAAGATTCAGAGCGGAGGCGAAAGAAGAGGCTGAGTCAGACCGCGCATCATTACGTCATAATAAAGCTTTTAGTCGCGCTTCGACTGTTAATAAATCTTTCATTTTGTCGCCTCTGTCCGGACAGCTGGTCGAAGAACATGCTTGTCAACGTCAGACCCTCTGAGATGACAGGTATTGCCAAGATGAAGTCAGATCTTGGTGGGTGCGCACGAGAAAGCTTGACGCAACCCTGTGCTGGCAGTTGTGCCGACATCACTCGTTCATCACTGTAATTAAAGGAGGGCCCGGCAACAGGTGTTTTGGGGTGTCGGGAGGGCCCGTACAGAGGTCTGATTTGCCCTCAACCAGGAGGACCCTCCTTTTTTCATCAAAAGCAGAAGGAATTTTTTTTAGGCAGGTGGCTACGAGAAAGGAGCCCGCTGTTTTGCTTGGAGGTTTGGTCCTTTTGTATGGGGATAGTTTTGGAAGCAAGCTGCATCTTTGACACTGAACACCTGGACCTTGACCAAAGGAGAGATTATATTATCCAGCCAAGAAGAACAAGCAAAAAAAGATCAAGAAGGAAATTCTTCCATCCCCGGAGTAGTATCTTGACAATGCATCTTTGCAACAGCAGCTGCGAAGAAAGTATTTGGCAGGAGAAAGGAGGGATGATGCATGATGACGGCGTTGTTGTCATTTTGCTTTCAAAAGCACTGGACACTCTTTCTCTCTCTTGAACTGTCTCTCTCTTGAACTGTCTCTCTCTCTTGGACTCACAAAACTTCCACGTTAATGGGCATCCAACTTTCCACGCCAGCTTCCCACGAAATCATACAAGGCTCGGTTCGTGGGGTGAGGGTTGGCCGATGTCTATGTGAAGCCCATGCCATGAGAAGTGCTTTGGTTACTTCTAGCTAGCCAGTACCGATACCACGGCAACTAGCGTCGAATCAATCACGTTTGGTTGACTTGAAGCCTTGATAGTCCAGTTTGGCTGACAGCAGGTCTCCATCGAAGGCAGGCGGTAAACTGGACCGTTCTTCTTCCCTGCCTTCATCATCAATCAAGACAGCAACGCACGTCGAGACCATTTTTTGTACGCTCCTTGGCCACCCGCTCTTCTTGATGAACCAACACTTTCAGTAGGGCACTTGCAGTTGCACTTGCAGTTGCACTTGATAGCCGCAGCTCGTGCAGCTCACCAGACCCTAAAGCACTAGTGTTCTAGATCAGCCAAATAACCAACACTAAAACTGGATAAAGCTTTGCAAAACTGTCTATCTGCAACATAGCCGTGGCTAACTAGCGCAGTGATGTCATTCAACCTACTGGGTACTTTATTCTCAGCTTTAACTACTTGTTGGTGCGACGCAGCACACCATAGGATGCCACTCGAAATGCAATTTGCAAGAGGAGGAGAACGAGCACTCCGAACCAGTAAGAGGTCGACACTCCTTCCACTCCCAAACTTGCCAGGACTTCATCTCCCGGGAGAGGACACTGCCCAGTTTCACCAATGGATACGGACACTTGATCATCTCCCACTTCGTGTGCACAAGGAATGTCTCTTCCTCCAAACTCATTGACCAGCATGGCCGAGTAGCCGTACTGAGCAAAACTCAACCAGCTCAACCACCGCACCGCAGGATTCATATTCTGCAAAGGGATATAAAAGCCCCCCATGATCATAAAGAACAGCGTGATGGGTGGTGCCAGGATAAGTGCAATGCTCATGCTGGGGATGAGAACACTCAAGAACAATCCCATGGATTGCGCCGCCGACATGGTCAAATAAAAGACGAGGACAAACTTGGCAAAGTGTTCAAAAGCAGGTCGGAATCCGCAAGCATAGTACGAAATGGCACCGTAGAGACATGGCAAGAGGACATTGTTGGTCATGTCAGACAGTGTCTTGGCAATGAAGAAAGGCAACACGCCATACAGCTTCTTGCTTCTCTCTCTGCGTAGCAATGTTCGTTCCCGTTGAAAGACGGAAATGCTGGAAGTAACAATACCGTTCGATTGTGCAATCAACATGAAGAAGAGCAGGGAATTCCGTTGAAAGACGTAGGCAGTGTTGTCTGGAAGTCGCCACCAAAAGAGAGCACTAAAGAAGGTGTAAGCGAACGTCAAGAGGACGGTTGTTCTGGTCAATCTTTCCCCTCGCATTTGCTTGACCGTTCGCTGTGTGAGGAGCCTAAGTTGCATTCGAAACGGGCTCACATATTTGGGGCTCTTTTGCAATTCTTTCAAGGTACTCAAGCGGCGGCTGAGGCGGGGGCGGTCCCCTGTGATGCTGAGTTTAGAGGATGCATCAAATGTCACAGTGGACTGCTGTTGTTGCTGTTGTTGGTGCGAATTGTCATTCTGTGTCAGAACCTTTTGATGCTGACACCAATGGGACGCCAATGTAGAAATCGTATCATCGTTGCCATTGTCATCTCTAGTTGCATCATCATCGGCTTTGATGGTGTCCATGAGCCAATCTGCAATGCCAGTTTCGGGCGGCAAGGGTGTTACAGAGGGGATGCTCTCCAGGTAGTTTCTCAATTGCTTGGGAGGACCATCGTAGACCATATGGCCATGGTTGAGCAACAGCAAATGGTCAAACATGTTGAAAATTTCTGTTCTAGGCTGGTGAATGACCACTGCAATAGCCAAACCGCCCTGGCGAGCCAAATCTCGCAGGGTGACAATCAAACTCCAGGCTGTCGTGGCATCCAATCCGGACGTTGGTTCATCCAGCAGTAATAGAGACGGCCGAACGACCAATTCGCTCGCCACAGCCACTCGCTTTCGTTCCCCTCCCGAAATCCCTCGCTGTCCACTGGTACTGGATCCAATCAGAGAATTTCGCACATGCAAAAGTCCCAATTCTTCCATGACATTTTGCACATTTTGTCGCACTTGTTCGTCGGGTACATGACAGCCAGTTTTGAGACGGGCCGAGAAATATATGGTTTCTTCCACCGTCAAGTTGGACAAGAGCAAATCGTCCTGCCAGACGACACCAACCAATCGTTTGGGCACAATTCCCGCATCATCATTGATGATCATTTCCCCGCTGGTAATATCATTGGGGTCATCATACAGATTTGCGGCGACGCTCAACAGGCTGGTCTTGCCAGAACCACTCGCCCCCATCCATGCCGAGAGCTGATACGGAGAGATGGATGTCGTAATGTTGGAGAGAATGGTTGTACGAGATGATTCCGCATTCTTGTTGGAAGTGCTTGTGGCGGATCGAGTGATGGGAGCATAGGTAATGTTCTTGAGGTCCAGGCGAACCAATGGGACTTCTGGACTCTTATCATTCTTTGCCTTCGCAGTAACTTCATCATCCACTGCCATGATGACATCCTCGGCGGAGTCTTCTTGGTGCTTGGGTTGAGGCGGCATGTTTGTTGTTGCAAGGCTTGTTCTTCTGAAAGAATAGGTTGTTTTTATGATCGGTTTGTGATTCTCCTTCCAAGTGAAATCTCTCTGCCTCTGTTGCGAGTGATGTGGTCGGCAAAGTTGGAAGCAACCACTTTCCCGATCCGCCCTTCATCATTTCACGCGAAATCCAGCACCTTCATAGAAGATCCAGCATCGATGCATGGTTTTCAATCGCAAATCTGACTAAAACAAAGCTCAATCATTTTAATGGTGCATAGTTCAACGCAACACCAACTCCACCGCTTTGAGCCCTGCTTGGTGTGGCTCAGTTTTGGTGCAGGTCTCTCTTTGATCAAACCCCCGCTTCCAGAGCCCGATTCCTTTGCGGGTTTCGCTACGGACAAGTGTGGCAAGCAGTTGCTTGATGATGAATCAGCTAGCCAGTAAGGGCGAGCATCTAACATTGTGACCAACCCGGGAACTTTTGAGGAAGACAACCTCCCGCTGTGAAACGAACGGATGCTGCCTCCCTCGCATGGATTCCTGTACCGATACGGCGTACAAGGACGAAGGTAGCAGCAACACCAACAGGCAACTACGTGGTGCTTCCAGTCCAGCTATTAAAAAACCGCTCATTTGGAATTGTATTCACTTGCATAGTAGTATTGCTAATACTTCTTACATGTAGTTATTCCCGAGAACGTTGCCTTGCTTGTCCAATGTCCAATCTATGTATCTTCAACCAAAGCTCTACTCCAAACCCAAAGCAGCAGCCACATTGATGCGCCCTCTTCCAAAGTAAGGGTCGTTTCCATTGTCACCAAGATCATCGGCAGAGTTGCGAATGGTGTTCTTTACTTGGGCCGGCTTGTTCCCAACGTCCTCAACGACCAGAGCGGCCAAACCAGCCACATGAGGGGCAGCCATGCTGCTTCCAGCCAGGCCAATCACATACCATCCAGCGCGACAAGCTGCGATAACCAAACTGGTTTGAGAGCATACAGCATAGATCGAACCTTCCGATGATCCTCCCGGAGCTGCAACATCAATGGCAGAGTTTCCATAGTTGGTGTAATCGGTTGCCTGGTCGTTGATGTCCGAGGCGGAGACACACATCGTGTTTGGAGTATCGCAATAGCTGTTGTATTGGTTACCATTGTGATCCAAGTCAGTGTTATCATTGCCAGCTTTTATCCATGGCGAGGAAGCGAAAGCATAATGTGAGATGTATTGAACTTGGCTGCAAAGATTTAATCACTCGCGATCTTATGTGAAGAACGTACCTGCGACAACAACGACAGACTTGTTGCGGTTCACATAGTTGAAGACTTTGTTGATGTAGCCAGCAATTTTTCCGTTGCCATTGGCCTTCTGAAACGAGCCTCCCAAACTCATGTTGATCACATCGGCCTCAACGTCAACCGCATGGAGGACTCCAGCAATGACGCTGCTGAACGGACACGACCCCTCCACAGCACTGCACACTTTGACACCGATAAGCTTGATATTGGAAGTAACTCCAGCAACTGACCATCCATTTCCGACAATGGTGTTGGCCACATGGGTTCCATGATACTGCCACACACAATAATTTTGCAAACAGGAATGAGGTTCATTGCAAAGGCAAACACAGACGGATCGTTTGCTCAAAGGTCACTTACGTGCAAATCGGTGATTGGGTGCTTCCAAGGGAAGTAATATCTGTGTAATCAACATTACAATGAACCACGAAACGTAAGACACCACTTGCTACCAAGACTTCTTCTATTGGGATATCCCACAGCAAAACTTACTGAGAATAGACATCGTCCAACGGCACGAAGGATGCCGACTTATCAAGATCCACTAGACCTGCCAAGTCTGGATTTTCATAATCAATTCCTGTATCCAGAACAGCCACTGTGACTGAATCTGATCCAAACCTACCAGCTTCCCAAGCCTTGTCCGCCTTGATTGTCCTCATGTTCCATTGGAAAGCATCGTACCAATAGGATGAAGCAGGATCAGTAGGGCTCATGACGCCGTCATTCTCCATCAAGGTCGACTCTGAAGTAGAGGTATCAACGTCCAAGAGAAAACTTTCGTCATCATCGATATCCGAAATGCATTCAGAATCCCGTGCTTCTTGTTTGGCAGCGTCATCATCGAGGCCTTTGACCACGGCAATGCCCGTCTCTTCGTGGAAGAATACCACAGATGCATTAGCTGCATTCAGGGCATCAATGGCATCTGAAAAGGCAATTTCATCGCATTTTCCCGATAAGGTTACCAAGTGCATCGTGGGCGCCGAATCGGCCGCGGAGTCGATTGAGAAATCGTCAATGTGAGGGATTTCCGATGAAGACACCCCTGCACCCATGAGGGCAAGAATAAAGAGTTGCTTTGGAGAAAACTGCA